TGTAATACAGTAACATTATAAATTAATAACAAAGGAACGATCCCCTTTAAAACAATCAATTTCTTTTTTATCAGATTTTATTGGTACAATTTAGATATACCTAATGATCACATTGGTCTCATTTACTGTTCTCTCATTGCTGGGACAAAATACCTGACACCCAGTATTAAGAAAGGAAAGGTTTATTTACCTCACAGTTTGTGGAGGTTTCAGTCCATACTCAGCTGGCTCCAAAGTAGGGTGGTACATGGCAGAGGGCAATGTTCATGGTGGAGGAGGATAGCAGAAGCAACAACAGCAAAAAAGGAGGAGTGGCAGAGAGCAAGCCTCTTTCCTTCCCTTATATTTTATGGAAACTACCCGCCCCAGGGCGGATGTAGCACTCATACCCGTAATCCCAGCATTGGACCATGAATCACTCATAAACTCTAGAAGCCCGCCCATGACTGCATGAGGATTTGGGAGGACAGCCAGACACAAACCGTAACAACATTCATCCTGGGAATCTGTACCTGTACATGATATAACTTGTTTTTTTTCCCTCATTCCCCTACCCTCCCTTCAACCCCTGCTCTCTTCCCCATTTACAAAAGCTTTGTTTCTATGTCTTCCTTTTCTCATTTTCTTTTTTACTTTTCCTTTCTTTCCTTTCTCCCTCCCTTCTCTATTGTTCCCCTCCCCATTTAAACATTTTCTTCCTATTTCACAATATCTATTATACATTTTGGTCCTTATTTACACTTTTCATTTCTCACACCAGAGAAACAATGTGGTATTTACACATGTGTGTCTGGTTTATTTACTTAAGAGTATGGACTCAAGGTGCATCCATTTTCCTAGAATTGTCTCAAGCTTATCCTTCTTTATGGCAGAGTAGTACCCCATTGTATAAACCACATCTTTATCCATTCACCAGTTGATGGGCACTTGAGTTGTTTCCAAGATTTAGTTATTACAAACTATGCTGCTATAAACATGGGTGTACATACATCACTGTGATATGATGCTTTTAAGTCTTTTGGGAAGATACCCAGGAGGGGAATGTCTGGGTTGAATGGAATCTCTAATCCTAGTTTTTTGAGGAATCTCCACACTGATTTCCACAGTGGGTGCACCAGTCTACACTACCACCAACAGTGGAAAAGTCTTCTTTTTTCCCCACCACAGCCCTACCCGCATTTATTATTGGTTGAATTCTTGATGATAGCCATTTTTTCTGGGGTAGATGGACTCTCAGTATTGTTGTAATTTGCATCTCTCAAATGACCAGTGATGCTGAACACTTTTTCATATACTTGCTGTTTGTACTTCTTCATCTGAGAAGTATCAATTCATCTCAGATGCCCATTTTTGGATTGGGTCTTTACATTTAGGAAAAGCTAATAATTTAGCTTTTCCCTTTCCTATCATTATTCCTTTTATTTTTTCTCTTTTCTAATTGCTCTGGTTAATGGTTCCAGAACTATGTTGAATGAGAGTGGAGACAGTGGACATCCTTGTCTTGTTCCTGATTTTAGAGAGAAAGCTTTCAGTTTTTGTCTGTATAGTATGATGTTGACTATTGATTTGTCATATACAGCTTTTATCAGATTGAGATAAAGACCATCTATTCCAATTTTCTGTATGATTCTTATCATGAATCGGTGCTGGTTGTGGTCAAATGCTATTTCTGCATCTATTGAGATGAACATATGGTTTTTGTCTTTGGCTATGTTAATATGGTGCATTACATTTAACTGATTTGCATATGTTGAACTATCCGGGCATCCCTGGGGTGAGTTGAACTTGGTCATGATGTATAACCTTTCTGATGAGTTGCTGCATTCTGTTTGTCAGTATCTTATTGAGGATTTTTGCATCTATGTTCAGTAGGGAGACAGGACTGTAATTCTCTTTCTTAGTTGGGTCCTTCTCTGGGTTTGGTATCAGAGTAATGTTTGCTTCCAAGAATGAATTTGGGAGTGTTGCTTTCCCTTCAATTTCATTAAAGAGTTTGAGAAGTAGTGGTATTAGATCTTCTCTAAATTTCTTGTAGCACTCAGCAGTGAATACATCAGGGCCTGGCCTTTTCATTGTTGGTAGGTTTTTAATCATATCTTTGACTTCATTGATTGATATTGGTTTACTTAGGATTTTTGTATTTTCTTGACTCAGCTGTGGATTTTATTTACTCTTTCAAAGAACCAACTCTTCAATTCATTGATTTTTTTTGTATTGTTTTCTTAGTCTCGATTGCATTAATTTCGGCTCTGATCTTTATAATTTCCTCCTTCCTAGGAGCTTTGGGCCTGGCCTGCTCTTCTTTTTCTAGAAGTTTGAAGTTCAACTGTAAGTTGACAAAAAACCTATTTCTATTTAAATAAGATCACCTTTCCACATGACTGTTAGATTCAACCAAAATGAAAAGTAGAAATTGGACATGAATGACAACAGAAATTAAGATTAAATATGACTAGACATGTCCAAAATAATAGCACATAAAAAGGTATAGCATTCCATGCACGTATTAGAATATAAGAAAGCATCAGTAAGCAGTCTTTTTTTTTTTCTTCAGGTACTAGGGATTGAACCTAGGGCATTTACCACTGAGATACAGCCCTAGCCCTAACTTTTGTTTGCCATACCAGGGATTTAACCCAAGGCCTTCATATCGAACTACAGCCTTAGCCCCTTTTTATTTTTTTATTTTGAGACAAAGTCTTACTAAGTCACTGAGTTCCCTAAGTTGGGTTCTAACTTGCAATCCTCCTGGCTCAGCTTCCCAAAATACTGGGATTACAGGCATGCACCACCATGCCTCAGATTCCTGAGTAGCTAGGATTACAGGCATGTGCCACCGTAACCAGCAATTTTTAGAAAATATTTTTAAAAATATAAATACCAAGAAATGAATTGAATTATGAATCCCATGAATCCCAGAATGAAGAAGTAACCCACACCCAGCCGTATCGGCTGTCAGTCTACTTCTTCCAGTTTAGTAGCCCTTTCTCTTCCAGCCGGCTATAAATAAATTTTTCAAGTGCTCTTGGAAGTGTTTTACAATCCTGCTGGCTCTTTTATTCATAGGTTAAATAATCACTGACCTTGTGTTTATTTTACATTTTTTAACTTTTCAAAAAATATATTGTAGCCCTGGGGGTATTGAGGCAAATTTTAGAAAAGGCATGTTATGTGGGTGTGTAACACCCATGTTTTTTTGTTAGTATTTCTATTGATGAATTATTAATTTTAATTTTATGACATATAAAACAATGTTTACTTAACACATTGTTTAATATAAAATAAAACATCAATAAAATATTAAAATTTTAATATGTATAGAATAAACATCAACATGCCTTACATGTTTAGGGTCACACAAACCATTGGCCATCACTTTGTGTTTTTTTTTTTGGTTTTTCTCCAGTACCGGGAACCGAACTCACGACCTTGCGCTTGCCAGGCAGGCGCTTTTGCCGCTGAGCTAAACCCCCAGCCCCTACTTTGCGTTTTGAGTGACATCATAGTTGCTGCATTTCTTGTCAACAATGGCTACTCTGCCTTTAATTTTGTTGTAAAATGTGACCATTTCTGGCTTCATTTGTGTTGAGGATTCACCACCAACCTTTGTTTGTTTGTCTGTTTGTTTGTTTTGAGATAGGGTCTCCCTATGTAGTGCAGGCTGGTCTTGAGCTCACTTATGTGGCCCAGGCTAGCTTCAAACTTGTGGCAATCCTGCTGCCTCAACCTCCTGAGAGCTGGAATTACAGGCATGCACCACTATGCCTGGATGAATTGGGCCAATTCTACAAGAAAAATAAAAAAAAGAAAACATTTAATGAAACAAATTCCAAATACACAAAAATGTAACACAGCACATAATGTAGGTAAAACACACCCATTTACACTTTGACATACGTGTATATACACCTTTGTCATATCAAATGGGTGAGCACAAAGACTGCTTCCTGTATTGCCCTGGCACAGTTACTGAGAAGCACAGTGGCTACCATTATGCTAAATTACGTATTTTCATTAGAAAAGTGTGGCATCTGCGACCCAGTATGAGGAACCTTTAAATATAAAACAAGGGATTCACGAAATTGCTTTTTCTTCTTGTGATGAGTTTTCCACTCTATTCTGTTCTGTTCTGTTCTATTCTATTCATTTTATTTTCTTTGTTTTGTTTTTGTGGGACTGGGAATTGAACCCAGGGCCTTCTATTGACCTACATCCCCAGCCCTCCTCTCCCTTTTTTGAGACAGGGTCTCTAAGTCATTGAGCTGCCCAGGTTTGGCTTGAATTTGTATCCTCCTGCTTCAGCCTCTCAGACTGCTGGGATCACAGGCGTGCGCAGCGATGGGCAGCGTTCTATTCACTTTACTGTGTGAACCAGCTGACTATGCCAGTACTGAGCTTTCCAAAACTGAGCCATAACAAACTTCTAAAAAAAAAAAAAATTCTGGTCATGACCCATTAAACCTGGCCTCAACTTGCATTTTGAAAGATCCTGCCTTCGCCACTCGGGTGGGGAGGACCGCATGTTAAACTCCCCTAATATTTAAGTTTGTTCACTTCCTGACCCTGGCTGCAGGGCTGTTTTGGCGTCCCGCTCGGTCACTCTGGGATCACTCCCAGCGACTACTGGAAGAGCCAGCCCGCATTCAGCCTCAGCAGCGGGGCAGGCCCCTTGGGGAAACGAGGGCCCCTCCGGCGACAGCGCTCCGCCGGGCTCACTGTGTAGGGCCTGTGGGTCTTGGAAAGCAACAGCTGTGCTTCGGTCCGGGTGCGTGCAGCGCTAGTTCAGTCTCCCTCCGGGTCCGCCGGAGCGCGCTTAGGGACCCGCTGCGCCCGAGCGCCAGGCTCTCCCCGCCGCCTTGGCCCCTTTCCAGGCCCAGTGGGTGCCTTTTGTCTGTCCGCTAGATTCTGCTTTGGAGGCCCGCGGCGGAAAGTGAGCATGAAAGGGGCTGGCCGACCTTTTCCCCGCCCGCCCCCTGAGTCCTCCCCCTTTTGGTCCCACCTCTTTGTTTAACTCCAGGGCTGGTCCAAGCGCCCCACCTCGGGATCCCAAGGTGCAGACCGGTGAGCACGACTCATGGCTCCGCTGGGCTGCGTGAGGCTGCGGTGGGCACTGCTGGGCACGCGGGTGGCTGGACGTGGCCTCTGCCCACTCGGGTGCAGAGCGAAGGCCGCAATCCCTGCCTCTCTCCCCGCGGACGAGGCAGCCGAGGGACCTGGAGCCGGTCCCGGAGATCCGCGGCGGCTGCGGAGCTGGGAGGAGCTTCCCAGGATCGGACGGCTGCGCTTCTTATTCCAGCTGTTCGGGCAAGGTTATGCCTTGCGCCTGCACGAGCTCCAGGTAACTAGTGGAGGGCATCGATGACCTGGAGGGCGGGGGCTGTGAGTGCGGGCACCAGGACAGAGAACAATGGGATGACAAGTAAAAGATTCCAGAACTTCGCTGGGGACCCACTGAGGCAATGCTTATAAATTGTAGGGAGAATGTGCAAAGTGCAGAGCCCTTTGAACTGAAACAAACGGAGATAAACAAGGCCATGAGCAGGGGTCAGCAGGGCAACTAGGGAGCGGTGTTGGGAAGACAATGGCGGAAGGATGTTGGGTCACTATTCAGTTCTGCAGTGACTTCTTCCAAAGGAAATAACTTCAGGATGATCCCAGAGATTCCTAAGCAATTTGCAAGGCAAATTTCCCCTTGTAGGGGTGTGTATGTGTGTGGGGGGGGGGCGCGGGGTGGAGATGCTGCTTCTCAGAAAGTGAAAGCACAATCATAGGCCATAAGCAGAAGGAGCTGCTCTGGTGTGGCTCAGTCCCGGATGGAGAGTCAGAGCTGAGCCGCACTCTGCAGAAAGCCTGGCTGGACGCTGAGGGTGAGGGAGAAAAATCACACTGAAGCTTTGGAGGGTGAAGTTGACAGCAGCCAGGGCTCCATCCTCTGCGCTTGCCCTGGTGGCCCTCTCTCCTGCTGTCCTATTGGCTCAAGTTTTGAAGACTTGGGGAAGTGGATCACAAGGTACCACGGATGGTTAAGAAATCACTCCCTATGGGCCGGGCTCCCCTAGACCGAGAAACATGCCCTCTAGAGTACCCCACTGGGTTCACCTTCTGGAACTGTGAATGCACTGGGGCAGGGTTGAGGGTTTCTCCGGAGATTTGCTCAAGGTTAGTTCTACAGCAAGTACCGAAGAAATTAAAGATGGCCTTAGGAAGAGGAAGGAGGAGAAAGCCAGGAGTGTGTGGTCTTTTAAAGGACAGCCCAGGGCTACAATTTAAGACAACCCTCTAAGATCATGGGTGGTGGGAACCTGAGCTGCCCCGTGGGAAACCCATTAACTTTCCCTACTTTGTGTGGCTGGGGCGAGTTAATAAAGAACAGACCTTGTACATCTGTAAAACCCAGGTAATAGTTCTACTGAGGAAGAGAATGTGTTTCAGTGACCCACTTTGCATCTGAAAGAGTTCATTTGGTCGTCATTCAAACTGGCCTAAAAGCTAGAGCAGATTTATTAGCTCATAGAACAGAAAACTCCAATAGTTGAGTGTCCTTCTGGTGTAATTTGTTCTAATTATCTAATTTGCTTTGATTGTCCTAGTCAGTTTTGGGTTACTGTAACACAGCACTGTGCCTGAGACTGGGTACTTTTATAAGGAAAGAGCTTTATTTAACTGACAGTTTTGGAAGCTAAAAATCTGAGACTATCAGCTCTTTCTGGCAGCCTCTGGAGCAGGTCTTCGGGCTGTTCTGATGTATGCCATGACTGATGGCATCTTCCAGCAGGAGTGTGTTCCAGAGAGGTTACATGCGGAGAGGATGGGCGAGACTGGGAAGGCGCCAGCCTTGCTTTTGTGTTTTTTTTTTTTTTCCCTTCTGGTACCAGGAATTGAACTCATGACCTTGCACTTGCCAGGCAGGTGCTGTGCCACTGAGCTAAATCCCCAGCCCACTTGCTCTTGTATAACAGCTCACTTTGGTGGGAACTAATCTATTTTTTGTGAGACCAGCATTAATCCCTTCACTAGGGCAGTCTTGACTTAAACTCCTTCTATCAGGCCCCATTTCTTTCAATAAGCTGGGGACCAAGATTCCACCACATAATGCTTTGAAGGGCTAAGCCGTATCTAAACCACAGCATTCTACCTTGACCCCAAAGTTCATGTCCTTTTCACAGTGTGTTAATTCCATGCCAACAGTCCCAAAAGTCATAAATGGTTTGAACACCAACTCAAAAGTTCGAAGACCAAAGTTTCATCTGACTCACGGAAACTCCCAGCTGTAATCCTGTAAAATAAAAACTAAGTGATGTTTCCAAGACACAGTGGCAAGACAGAGATAAAATAAACATTCCTATTCTAAAAGGGTGGAATGGGCCAAATGAAGGGAAGAAATTAAATCTTAAAATTCCAAGTCCTGCGCCTGTGGACACAGGAACTGGTGGTGGCAGCGGTGGTGCCAGGGCCTGGGGCAGCGCTGTCTCCATGGCTTTGCTGATGCAGCCCATGTGACAGCTCCTGGCAGTTGCATGCAGGTACTCACAGCTTTCTCAGAAGGGTGTTGTATGCCACTGGGTCCTCTGCCTTTCTGGGACCTGATTGTGGTTCCACTAGCTATTTAACAGAGATGCTGGTAGTTCTGTCTCCCTGCCAAATTTCTGTTTGGCTACTTAGGCTTTTTAAAAAAAATCTTGGTGAGAGATGCCATGCCCCATGCCTCTTAGATTCTGTGTGCCTACAAAATTGGCCCCATGTGGATTTTGCCATGGCCTACAGCTTGCATCCTCTGGAGCAGGACCACATGCCACCACCCTCGGGTCCACTTGAGCAGCAGCTGGGTGGCCAAGTGCAAGGGCCTCAGGTGGCCCTGTGCAGCAGTTCCTGCTTGGGGCATGGCGGGGGGGGGTGTTGCTTGAAACCATTCTGCCCTCCAAGGCCTCTGGACCTAGGATAGAAGGGATTATCTAGAAGAGTTTTGGGGTGTGCTTTGGGCCTCTCCCAGTGTCCAGATACACAGCACCAACTTCCTTTTTATCTGTGCTGAGCTGTTTAGCAAGTGGTGGCTCTCATGAACCCTTGAATACTTTTCCTTGGCTTTTTACCTGAACAGGCTTCGATTTTTCCAAACTGTTACACTCTTTCTTCTTAATTACATGTGCAAGGCCCTGGGTTGCTCTCTAGCACTTCAATAAATACATTTTTAAAAAGTAAATTCTGCCTCTAAGTCATTGCTCCTAAATCTTACTGCATGAAGGTTAAAAACCACCCAAGCCACTTCTGTATTTTGCTTAGAAATTTATTTCACCAGATATCCCAAATCATTACCCTTAAACTTGGCCTTCCACAGAGACATAGGGCATGGTTGGAATTAAGCTATTTTCTTTGCTATTTCATAATAAGCATGGTTTATACTCAAGTTTCCAATAAGATATTCCTCATTTCCATTTGAGACTTTGTCAGTGTGGCCTATACTGTCCACATTTCCATCAGCATTCGAGTTCCTTATTAGTTTCTTAGTTCTGAGTCCTTACCTGAATTGCCCACAATGCTTCAATTTCAACAATACAAACCTTTCCTCATCTGTTCCTCCAAAGTCTTCCAACTTCTGCTCATTACCCAGTTGCAAAGCTACTTTCACATTCTCAGGTATCATAATAGCAACAACACTACTCCTCAGTAATGGTTTTCTATCTTAATCCACTTTCTGTTGCTACCATGAAATTACGAGACTGGGTAACATAAAGAGGAAAGAGGCTTGTGATTCTGGTGGGTGGACAGTCCAGACTGCATGGTGTCAGTGTCTGGCAAGGGCCTCTTGCCTGTGTCATAACATGACAGAGGAGCAGAAAGCATAGGGGGTGTATGCAAAGAGAGAGATCCCATGGTCAGAGACAAAGCAAGAGGCCAGGCTTCCTCTTTTACAACAACCTGATCTCAAAGAAAAAAAAAATTAATCCATTCCCACAAGACTTGCATAAAGCCTTTCATGAGTGTGATCATGAGCCAGTCACTTCCCACAAGGTTCCGCCTCTGAAAGATCTCTACTGCCATTAAGTTGGGGACCAGGCTTCCAGCACAGGAACATTTGGGGAAACAAAACATATTTGAACTGTAGCCAAACTGGTAAAGCTATCAAAGGTAGTTTTGTTTTTCTGTAATTCTCTTGGCTCTGGTCCTTTTTCTGAAGTGGACTGACTGGCTTGACGTGGGTTAGTCACCTCTGCTTGAACCCATCTCAACATCACAATATCAAGGAACAAGGCAGACACACTTTAATGAGCTTAGCCTCATGCAGCCTCTGGGCAATCTATAGCAATCTTTAATCCATTCCTATAGCTGGGGTCGGGGTCCCTTCCATCCAAACCAAGAGGTTACCAGATGGGGAGAGAAATGGAGTGGTTGTAGGCTCAGCCAATTACAATGTTCTTTGCACCTTTAGCTGCCAAAATCCATGGGGCTGGGGCTGTTGCTCAGTGCTAGAGTCCTTGTCTAGCACACACAAGACTCTGAATTTGATCCCTAGCATGACACAAATAAACACAAAACAAGCAACAACGACAAAAGCCACATGCACACACAAAGCCCCCCTTCATTATCATATATAAAAATAATAAAATCAATGCACAAAACATTGTAACACTTAAAGGAAATGCCAGCTATCTTTCTCTTTCTTAACAAAAATTATGTTAAGAATGCTGGAGGAGGGGCTAGGGATTTAGCTCAGCGGCACAGCGCCTGCCTGGCAGGTGCAAGGTCCTGAGTTTGATTCCTGGTACGGGGGGGGGGGGGGGGAGACAAAGAATGCTGGAGGGTCTGGAAACCAACTGCTTAGCATGCATGGGGCACTATATTCAATGCAAAAATGATAGAAAAATGAAATATGAACATATGTCTAATTTGTATGTAAATGCATGTAAAACTGCTGTCTTCCAAAGATGTGGGGCAATAGAATGATGAGATGCTATCTATCCTGTGTTCTTATGTGGAGTACCCGGGGCAGTGGCTCCTCCTGTGGCTCCGTGCACATATTTGTCACTTCATGTGTCATTCATCCCTTGTTTATGCAGCGTAGAGACTGGGCTTTGAAGTTCCAAGGGCTGGACCTGTGTTTTTCTCTCCTGTTTCCCAGGGCCAGGCACTGAGCTGGTGCCAAGAGTGGTAAGGAGCGGTGGCTACATCTGGGGTAAATCTTTTTGTGACATTTGTCTTCCCAGCTTCCTTATCTGTGTTATTTGCTCTAAAATAGAGGGAAGGAGAGACAGGGAGGGAGGTGGGCAGATCAGTCAAGCCTGGCCCTGCGGTCCTCATTGTTTCTAGTGCAGAAAATATATTTTGTCAGCACACTCAGCA